TGGGAGTGGGTGTATTTCCGGACCTCAAGGGTAACTAGGGGCTATCTTCTAGGTGTTTCACCAGTCTCTAACCAGTGGGTTTTACATTCTTCTCCCACTCTATCTAAACCGGTCCTTTCAGAGCAGTTGGTAGTGGCAGCCAGGCACCATCTAGTTCTCCTACTGTCAGGTTGGGATCCATTGGCCTTTGATGTTCTTCACTGTCCTCCCCCGCCGGGGAGAGGCCAGTACTTGCACTTTTGTTCACTGCATTGTAGGCAAGCTTTTGAGACCCCAGGTGCTTCTCACCAAATGTTTTTGTGGGCTGTGCTATGCCAGCCGACCTTGGTGCCCCTTGAGGCCCTCTCATTCTCGTCTACTCAGTTGTCTTCCTTTTAAGATGCCCTTTTGACAAGTTAAATGACATTTTAGATATTTTCAGTTCTTGCCTGGACCACGACCAGAAAGAACAGATGGATAGCCTCTTTGGAAAATGCACGTTGTTGCTGGTGTGTGCCCAGGTCACCCCGGGGAGGAGCCTGAGGCACAGCTTCAGGAGTGGGAAAGGTAAACTTCATTCTACATGTTGTATGAGTCCCGTTTCTACCCCGCGTTTATATCTGACCATTGCCTTCAAAATAGAATTGATGTAGGTTTCCTATTACTTTCTTGATATTCAGAAATTGTTTTGGTTTCGAAGGACTGCATTTTAACTGATGATTTGCTCGTGTACAGGATCATTTAATTTTTAATAAACTGAAGCTTTTTTGTTTTTTCCCCAAGTGTATTGGGTTATGACTTTCTGTGCTCTGCCCTTTGGACCAGGAAGACGGGCCCAGCCCTGATTTCTGAGGGAGCTCAGGCTTCCTGGGCCGCCCTGGAAAGTCATGCAGAACAGGCCCGTCCTGCCATCACCGGCAGTGGGGCCTGGGCTGGTCCTCTATGAACTAATTCCGGGAGGTACAGGAATTCAGTGAACTAAAAACAAAAAACAAGTGCCCGGGAACGCTTCAAATCGAACAGATGCTTGCATGGTAAACCTTTAGACGCGACCTGCTTCTGGGTTTCTCTGGGTGAGCCCTGGCACTCTCTCCCGGCTGTTACCAGTTTAGGCCCAAGTCACATATCCCTTGCTTCAGCACTTTTAGAATCTAGCGATAAGGAGAGTATGATAATAGAGGACGCAGTTCCTGACCTCCTCCCCAGCTTTCATAAAGCCAGCCCAGGTGAACACATGTGTGAATGCCTACCTGCCCGCAGGCCCGCCAGCTTCCCACATGCGAATTGGAGGCCTGTCTGTGGCTAGTCTTGGCCACCTGGTGTTTGGTTTTTAGGTTAGCACAGGTGCTTGTGAAAATAACCCGTAAGAACAGTTGGTGCAGTTTCTGTTCACACCTCCGAGTGATGGTGGAAGTTTCCAAAACAAATTCCACTTTGGTGCCCGGGGGATTGGATTTTAACATCAGGCAGTAATAGGCCCCCGGGGAGTACTCTGGATTTGGTTGCAGCTTCCCTCCAAATGAACAGCCTTTGGCACTGATACTGGGGAAGGCAATCCTGGTCCCAGACACTGTTAAGTGGCCTTGTTTGAGTCTCGTTGGCATAGTGGTTATGAGTAGGGCTGCCAACTGCAGGATCAGCAGTTCTAAACCAACCAGCTGCTCCACAGGAGAAAGACGGGGCTTTTATTCCCATTAAGAGTTACAGCCTTGGCATTCCATGATGCTCACCTTCCCGACAACCGCTGAAGGCAAAGCGGGTGACTAAGCAAATGTGGTGAAAGCTGGTGGTGCCCAGCTATCAAAAGAT